TAATTTCGCTTCATTTGAGTACCAGGTTGACATATTTTTGAAAAACTGTTTTTTTCGAAAATATTAGGGACCCATTAAATATTCAAGGGTCTTGAGGGACCCCTTAAAATATTTTTTATTTAAAAAAAAACTTAAACCTAGTGTTTTTGCATTAGATAGAACACATATATATATATATATATATATATATATATATATTTATATATATATATATATATATATATATATATATATATATATATATATATATATATATATATGAGTGTGTGTGTGTGTGCGTTTGTGTATAGGAAGCAATTATTTACAGTTTTTGGCGTTAGACAAAAACCCTATAATTTTCTAGAACTTTACTTGTTTCTATATTTTTTTAAGGTTAAGCATGAAACTTGAGATTTTTTGCATTATTCAGTTTAAATCTACCTCTTTTCAACCATATATAGGAAGTACTATTTACTATTTTATATACTATTTATATGGCTTCACTTATATATTTTACTTTTTAGAGTTTTAGAAAAAAATTATATTCCAACTTGCTGAAATGAAAAAAAATTTAGTAGATAGAACTGCACTGTTCTCTAATAATCCAGAAGAAGGTTTTTAACAACGTAAAAGTTCAGATAAATTTAATGTTTTGAAAAAAAATTTCGCAAATGGAGATATCCAATACATCACTTTTGTATACATGAGTTTCAACTTTATTTTATATGTTACATATTATTACAATATTTATTTTAAATTGTTATAAACATTTTCAATGTTTCTAATACATTGTTTCTTTTTAGGTAAAACAGTTATCATTAATTGGGGGTAAAAATCTAGCTGATACAATTAAAAATATTTTGCTCTTGTTAGTAATTAGCAAAAGTTTGAGTTTTAACATTTATGATTGACAGTACAGCATTTATCTTCTTTTTTATTATGTAGATTGCCAACAGACACTATTTTGTCAGAATACAGCATGAATTGTCTAAAGAAGAAAAAAAAGTTTAAAGAGTTGACAAGTCTATGTTACGCTGTCACTGGTATTCTTATTAGCTTAATAATGTGTTTGATTAATTAAAAATTAAAAATGATGTTTTTTAATTTTTAATTAATCAAACACATTAGTAAGCTAAAAAATTTAATTTCTTTGGCTATGGAACATGACATGTATTCAAGTGTATGTATACATGACATTTTTTTTTTTAATGATCTTTTTGAAACATGTTTTGTTGTTTTTATTAGAAGCTGCTTTAAAGTCAAATAAAAACTTAATCAAAATGGAAACCATCCAACTTATTGGAAAAGTAATTAGGCATTCTTCTGACCGAATAAAGAGAACATCCACTAATATGGATTTCGATCAATGATGGCTTAACTGTTTTATTTTATTTATTTTTTTCCATTTTTAAGCAATTTTCTTCTATTTATAATGCACTATCGATTATATTCTACTGTACCTATTAGTTTTTAATTTGAAAATGTAACTTTGTTTGAAAAATTATTCTTATTTTTTGTAAAGTTATTAATTTATTTTAAATATATCAAATTACACTTTATTTACATTGATTTCTTTTTATAACTTCCCTTGCCTAGATTAAGGCAAATCTAAGTTGTGTGTTGTAAATCATTGCATTTTTATATAACTTTTAAAAGAATGTCTTGGTAAAGTTCAAACGTCTCTAGGACGTCTGAAAAAGACGTCCTTAAGTCTTTAAAATTAGACCAGACAGAGATGTCTCTAGAACGTCAAAAAACGTCTCTAGGACGACTTAAAAAGACGTCTTTAGGACATCTGGAATAGACGTCCTCAAGCCTTTCATTTGAGACCAGCTAAGGATGTCTTACGGACGAGACTTAAGACGTCTTACGGACGTTCTTAGGACGTCAAAATGCCCGCTGGGGAAATATTTAAATTTATTAGATTGAAGTGATAAATTAGAGGAGAAGTTCCTTGCAAAAAATTTGCTTTTTAATCTTGGGAGTAGTAATAAGATCATACCCAAGCTAAAGTCTTAGTCTTGTCTTTGTTAATGAAATTAAGTAATTTGAGAAAAATGGATCTCAGTGTTAGAAAATACCTTTTTGTTTGCTTTAAAAAATTTTTTTGTAAGACTTTGTTTTTTAATTATTTTTTGAGGAAAAAAATGAAAAAAATAATAATTAAAATATGTAGCTGCACAAGAAGAAGAAAACCGAGTGATAAAGTGATAAAGATAAATCTTGATTTAAAAACCAAAGTATAAAGATTTAAAACTTTAAAAGAATTAAAAGCTGAAAAATTTAGGAGTATAGTTAAAATCTGCTAAATTTAGGAGATGATAACAATGGCATCAACCCAAAGATCATCATGAAAAAAATTGCAAAAAAATTAAAAAAATCAGGTAGTAGTTAGAAGTACTGATAATGTAAAAGAATTACCAGATAATAATTTTAGTGATTGCATGATCTGAATCACTTTAAGAAGCAAAAGGAGAAAGTTTTTGCATAGAATACTTCTACATGACAGTAGCTGGATGCATTTAACATTTTGCCAAAATGGTCATTATTATTAAAACATCTTCTCAAGCCTTTACTCAACCAAACCAAGCAGAAAGGTATTTTATGTCAGTTAATTTCTCACAGCTTTCGTCTAAAAAAGCAATTTTCTATATTACAACAGAACATGAGCCAGGCTGTACTGGATTACATGTTACTTGTAACAAAGTAATCGTGATAAACTAAACCTGACCAAACATGGTTGATAGTCAAACAGTAAATTTTGTTTAGTCTAAAATAGAGCTTAAATATATTGTAACGGTAAGTGTTTACTCTTCAAACTTTTGTCAATTGTGACAAAAGTTTGAGGAGTAGCATATCCATTTCAAAAGTTGTGTTTTACAAAATGCTTTTTAGCTTATTTAAACGAGTTCATTTACAAAATAAAGTTATAAGATGTTCATAAATTTTAAATAATTTTTTGCTAAAAATAGAGTATACCTTTAAAAAGTTGGTGTTAATATTGAGGTGTAAAAATATGCTAAATAATGTAATAATGGAAATTATGTAAAATTATAATTAAACCACACAATTTTTACTCAGTATTAGGAAGGTTTTAAATGTATCCGTTATATTTTTTTTTCATTTTTTTAATTTTATTTAAAAAAAAAGATAAATAATAAAAGCAAGTTTGAAGACAACCACAACAAGTTGTTTTTTCAGGGAGCGAGCGAGGCGCCACCTTTAGCCACGCCGCTGAGCAACCAAAAGTGTATTTCTTTGAGGCATTAAATTAAATAAAAATAAATTTATTATAATTCTTACATTTTTATTCCATTTTGTTCCTTGAAGAGCGTATCTTTTTTTTCTTGTATCATGCGATTTGCTAATATCTGGCAAACCACAACGTGGAGTCTCAATTAACTCAACAGTTTTATCATCCAAGACTCCTGTTACAGGAATGTTACCAAACCTTTGTAAAGATTCTAACGATTTTTTAATGGTATTTTCGTCAAGCAGTTGTCCAACTCGTGGGTCAGGAAGATCCAAGTAACCATTCATGCTCATGTATTGCTAAAAACAAAAAATAATGATAATATAATTCTTAACGAAATCATCATAATAGTTTTTAACTTTTTCTTTTTAATTAGCAATCCATTAATAATAAGAGTATAATTGGTTATTTAAGATAATTACATGTTTTTATAAAATAAAAGAAAACGATTGTGATGGCTTTATAATTTAATTTAACGGCTTTCAAAAATTTTTTAGTATACAATCATTTTATAATCCTTCTACCATTTTGTTTTTTCTTTTCATTTTTTTTGTTTCTGTTTCAAATAAATTCTATAGAATTCATTCAATTTTTTATCTTACTTGTAGCTGCATCTAAAACCGATTATTGGATGTTGAGTAAACAATAGACTCAAACTAATGCTGACAGAAATTTGTGTTAAAACTTTTGAGTTTATTCTAATTACTTCGTAATTGCTGTTTTAAACATATTAATTTAAATATCGGTGTAAAAATGAAATCTATCAATATATGAAATAACATTTTTTTTTATTTCCAATAAAAATATATATATATAGTATTTTTAGGGTGGACACGGAAAAATCAGGTCAGCTTTAAATTTAGATTTCTTTAAAACCACAAATGCTTTTTATTTCTTTTATTTTTTTATTAAACGTTACTACCTTATCTTTAATTGTGTTGATAAATTTTTGTTTGAAAATCGATGATTTGCAAAATGTTTCGGAAAAAAATTGATGTGCGTAAAAAAGTTGTGAATCCATCGACTTGATTGCTAAACGTACTAATGTCTTAAAATTTACAGTCATAGATATTATAAATAAGTTCAAGACAACTCAAAGCTTCGAAGGAAAATCTGGAAGTGGAAGAAAGCAAACTTTTCTTAAATCCAAAAAGGTAATATTGATTTTATGTTCAATAGCAAAAAATCCAAACCAGTCAGAGCGAGATCTAGCAAGAAGGTTCAAGACTTCGCGTTCTTATATCAAAAAAGTACTTTAAAATGCTGGAATTAAAACTGTTCATAAGGAAAATACACCTAAGAGAAGCTTAAATAGTGAAATTAAAGGAATTCGATGCGCAAAGAAGTTGATTAAAATAATGGCGGATAAAAGTATGTGCATTATTGAAGAGAACGAAACATATTGCAAGACGGATTTTTCACATCTCTTAGTCAATAATTTTACTATGAGAACAAAGATAAACCTGTCAATGTTCAATTTAAATATATTCAATGAGAAAAATTTGCATCCAAGTTCCTTGTGTGGCAAACAATGTGTTGCTGTGTTATGCAGTCCTGTTTTGTCACTAAGAAGACCTTGAATGCCAATCTCTATATTAAAGAATGCCTTAAAAAAATTACTTCTGCCGTTTATGAAAAAACACAAATATCGATGTCTCTTTTGATCAGATCTTGCTGCTTTTCACTATTCTAAAAAAGTCCTACAGTGGTACATAGATAAATAATGTAAAAATTATTTCTAAAAATGCGAATCCTCAAAATCGTCCTGAAGAGCGCAATATTAAAGATTTTTGAGCAAAGGTTAATGGAGTTCTTTGTATGACAGGTGGAGTAAAAATACTATAAAGGACTTCCAAAAAAAGTAGATTAATGCCACCAATAAGGTAAAAATAAAAAATCTACAAAATGATGGCGTCAACCCGATATAAAATTCGATCTTTTGCCAAACAGTTTATCAAGCCCTTTTAAATTAAGCTGAAACTCTAATTGGTATAAACACATTTAATAATTAAAAATTAAAATAAAAAGCATTTATGGTTTTAGAGAAATCTCAATTTAGTTGACCGGATTTTTCCGTGTTCACCCGATAAACTTAGTCCGTACTGTTTGATAAATTAGTTGACCGGATTTTTCCGTGTTCACCCGATAAACTTAGTCCGTACTGTTTGATACATTAGTTTTTCTGTTTAAAAAACTTTTTTTTTTAAAAAGTTTTTTAAAATAAGACAGATGGCATTTCTATCAATAACCAATAATGCGTACGTAATTCAAAAAGAAAAGTTCAAAGATAAACAAAAATTAGTTGTGTAAAAGCATTTAAAAATGGTTATTAAGTATAGTGAAATTGCTTCAATTTAAAAACAAAATGATAAACATAATCTAGCTATTGAAAAATGCTTGTTGCATTGTGAAGAAAAACTTAAAAAAGACCTAAGGGAAGTAGAAAAACATGTTATAACATAGAAAATAAAAAATATAAAAAAGCGATACAACGAACTTTGGGAAAGCAAGGTTGTTCTTCTGCAAGATTTATGAAATGCCATGGAAGTTGGCTTCAAACTGAATACGAGCTTCCAATAGAATTTAAATGTTGCCCTCAGCCGCCCATTTCTGAAAAAACGAAAAGAGGAAGACCAACTATGCCATTTTTGAAGATGTTGCAGATCCAATTGCCGAGTTATTGCTAATCTTGTATTTAATAACGAACCCAAAACTGAAATGTACCTAAGAGTTGTTGCAATCGTCGCTGCACAACATGATAAAAAAGATTTATCTCATTTAATCAAAAAAATTAGTTTAAAATCAAAAGTTGACAGCACTTAGTTTAACTTGACAGCAAATTAGTTTAAAATCAAAAGTTGACATTGAATAAGATTTACTCTGAATTTGTGCCACCAAATGATTAACTCTGAAGAACACCACAGAAACATTATCGTTTCTTTTCGCATTATCGTTTCTTTTTGATAAAAAAATCAAGGTGGTGATATTTCCCCTCCTTATAAGTTGGTATTAGATGAAAAATCTCAATATCGTTCAAATGAAGTATTGCAAACAGATAATTGCATCGAATTAGAATGGAAGCATTTATTAAGACCCGCCTTAAAATGACATAAGGAACCCTTAAGAATCCCTAAAAGGATAATGGGTATATTAAGGGCAAATTTTTTTGACCTTTTTTTTATATCAATTTATATCTGTAATAGCTTATCTTAATTTTTTGATAAAGTTTAGCTTATATTAATCAATTTGAAACATTAAAATTTGTTCATCGCAAATCTTAATAAGGGATCAGTAAGGGCAAAATCAGGACTAGCCCTTAGTCGACTTTACGGAATTTTAAAAATCGGAAGAAAAACATTTTACGGAATGATTTTTGTAAATGCGCAGTTTTTATATGCATGATTTTTTTCTATCGTGGCGTTGCAATTATTGAAAAGCTTTAATTTAATGATAAAAAAAACAGTTTAATAAAAACAATGTAATTTGTTAATCGTAGCATGGTAATTGTTCATTCTTATCCTTCCAGTTAAATTGGTATAGGTATCTATACTCTGTCTAATATCATTGTAACTGGTGTAAAGATTGTAAATAAATGTGTTGGTTTTAAAAAAGGCAATGAGTACATTATCATACCACTTGCAAATGATATATTCAAGGGTTGACTCTCAATGGCTGTGTAATCATTTTAATGGAATGATAATTTTGTTTTTATACCATAGTAGATTTTATGTTGTAAATATTTAAATATAATAATACTTAAACAATTTGAATCGTGTTTAACAAAGTATGTTAAGGAACCAGTATTGTTTTAATATTTTGCACTAAAATTAGATATAACTAATATAATGCTACAGTAAATATTTCGAGCATTTAGAGACAAAAAAAGCATATCTAAAGCGTCTTTTTTTAAAAATTAAGTAATAATTTAAATATATAATGGAGTACATCAGTCAAAAATATGTTTTAATTTACTGTTCATCTGATAAATCAATATCAATTAATCATGCTGATAATGTAGTTGGATGGATTTCTGAAGAATTCAAAAAAATCCAAATTCGTAAAAGAGTTGAATTAATGGTGATAAACAACAATAATACGATAAAGGTAAATTTAAATCATCGTAATTTGATAGTATTTTTTAATAATTGCAATACAAAGCTTTTTTTTGTAAACATATATGATTAGGTTTTAGTTTTGCAACGTGCTAAAGTCCTGAAAGAAACTTTAAAGTTTGTTTATGAAGTAAAAATAAAAAAACAATCAATAAATTTTATACAAACTTATTTCAACTTGGTCCGTGGCTTAAATAGACAACTTTTATCTAAATATAAAATACAATACTATGTTTATAGATTTGTTTATATCTTCTGTTAATTTAGTTTTTTATGATTTTTTTATTTTTAAAGAAATAATTATCCAAATTTTTTTTAATCCATCCACTTCAGGGGGTTCTGAAGACTCAAATTTTGATATAGATTTTTGTTCTGATTTAATGGTAATGTTTTTTTAATTTATTGTAACAATTTAGATAGTTTGTTAAGTAATTTTTTATTCATAAAATATTTTAATATTTTAGGCTCAACATACCCAGGATATTGTTATTAAATCAGCTTTAATAAGTTGCTGACACATGATACACAAAAAAAGATCAACAGGCCAGGAACATATGGCAAAAGGTTTTTGATCACCTGGAAAATCTGCTTAAAAGTGAGTGAAATTTGAGTTAAAAAGAGTTAAAAAAAGTTGAGTTAAAAGTTGCACGATTTTTTAATAACGCCAAAGATTGCCCTGGTGGTCGGCTGCGGTGATGTAAGAAAACAGCAGTTTCGATTGACGCGAAAGATACAGACAGTGACGAGAGAAGTAAAGAGGACAACAAAAATAACGCTCCTCGATAAAAGAAGCGAAAAACATCTTTAATTAAATATAAATATCTTGCATTTTGAATAGCATTGCTATGTAAATAATATGTATTATATACCAGTTTATGTAATATGAATCGTAATAAGAAATATATTTAAAAAATATTTGTTATATTTTATTCAAAAAGGAAAGATTTCTAAAAAATAACCACGCTTTACTACTCATTTATTGAGTGGTAACGCTTTGTTTTTTTTAGTCGCTTATAGGCTAGTCCTTAAGGGACCCTCAAAATCCGCGCGGACATTTTCGTCAGGGTCTCTTAAGGGCGTTCCCTTAAGTGTTTTTAAATCGGGGACACACTCTGGAAAGAATTAATAAAATACAGCATGGACGTATTGAGAAAGATTATTGCAGAAATTAATGTGGTCCAATGCATATTTATAGTTTCTTTGACGGTAGCTCGCAACAAGCGAGATTCAATCAAGATCTAAGTGAAACTTTTATTGATAGTTCATTATTTGTGTCATCTATGATTCCTTTAAGATTGCAACCAAGCTGTGGAAAAATTTTATGGATTAATCAAACTCCTTAGTCTACTAGATTTTGCCGTACACCGAGAATCAAATTTGCAAAAGAAAGAATACGTATTGGATTAAAGGAAAAGTATGATAAAGAAATTGCTGAACTCCAAGAGGTCGTGATTACATTAAAATCTGGAAAGAAACTATTTTTTGAATGTAAGCTGTGTATGACGTTAATAAATGGAAAGATTTAAGCATTTAATACAAAGACATCTTTATTTCAACGATGTACTGTATGCGGTTGTTCTTTAAAAGATATGAATAAACTAGTAAATTTTACACAAGGTTAAGTTAAGGAAGTAAATGTAAACCCAGTAGCTCTACAATATTGTTTTTGTATAGGCTGTTTCGAAGCAACGTTACACATTTCTTACAAATTAGTTTTGCCTGAATATCAATGGCAAGTACATGGAAAAGAAAACGAAGCAAAAATAAAAGAAAGGAAGAATAAAATTCAAACCCGATTTAAAAACAAACTTAACACTCATATACACATGCCAAAATCAAACAGTGACAATAGTAATAAGAGAAACGTTATAAAAATATCATTTGAAGATCCGAAACTCTTGGCTGAAATTTTAGACATCAATATGGAATTTATTTAAAGGTTAAGAGTACTTTTGTTGCGTATTTTTTATTGATTTCCAAATGACCCAGATAAATTTAATGACTAATGCTTCTCAACAGCAATCCGGTATATTAAACTATATAGAAAGTTTTCTATGACTCCCATATTACATAAACTTTTGATACATGACTCACAATTTATACAAAATTTAATTGTTCCTGTTAGCATGTTATCCGAAGAAGCTTTTTAAAAAGTAAAAATTAACTTTTTAGATCAGATAGAATCAATTTTGCTTAAAAAGATAGTCGCCAACACAACATCTTTGATGTATTCACACGTGCAATGGAGACTTCAGATTTAATTCAAGATTACACCAAAGAATTCAAAAGTATATAAAATTTTATATAGATGACATCCCATAAGGCATTCTATAGTGGAACTTCAGTGGACCAATTAGGCTTATATTTTCTAAACAATATTAGCAATATTAGGTTGGTTAATATATTTAGGTTGTTTTTCTGATATTAAGGTGGTTCACTGTAGTTTTGCTCATCGGTTGCTTAAATGTTCATGTAATAATCCAGCGATATCTTTAATGCAGACAAGTTTGTTTTAGTTTTAAACACTTCAAAAACTATTCACCATTAAAATTGAATTCAATCATCTTTGCGAGTGATTCAAATTTATTTCTTACTATCAATCTAATTAAAAATCGAGTCCTATTCTGTTCACAATAATTTTCGAGAATTTGCTGGATACTATATTCAACTGAAAACTTTTTTTTTTTATTTAAATTATAACTATATTGAACCTGAGTTTTTAATTGAATGGCCTAGTTACTCGAATATTTGATAAAGTATTGATGCACTTTATTAATATAATAATTAATAACATAACGCTTAAATAAATTAATAAAATAACGGTTTGCATAATTACTTTTATATGCAAAAACTGTGGCTAATGCAGGATATTATGATGTTTTAGATAAGACACTTTCAAATGTGTGAAACTTAAATATGTTCTTACGTCAAAATTTCCCAATTCTTCAATAACTAAATGATTATTAAATGATATTTAAAAAATGTAAATTTACTTTTAGTACACAATGCGAACTTTTTGTGGTGTTTTTGTTCTCAGCCTCCAATCACTGCAATGAAATCAAAGTTCTGCTACGTCACTGCGTAAATTTTAAGAACTATTAGAACTAAAAAAAACTGCTGTTTATTTAAAAAAGTTATTGCTGTCGCAATAAGAATCATACAGCATTTTCAAACAGCTGAAGACCAAATGAATTAAGTCTAAAACAAGTTTTGTAAACTTTGATTCTTTTATTGCAAAAAAAAAAAAAATCTTTAATGCTTTGTCCTCCCTCATTTACCCTCCCTTGTAAATGTGAGAGCTTAAAAATAAAATAAAAGTAGTTGTCAGAGGAACTGATTTGTTCATGAATATATTCATGAACAAATCAGTTCATGAATATATTCAATTGATTTGTTCATGAATATATCGCGGTAAGTTTTCCTAATATCAGTTAACTAATATTAGCGGCTGCCACTATTTGTCTACTAAGTAACTGATGATCAAAATTAATACCTATATTGTTGTTTTAAAAAATATTGATGTTTTGGCTAAAGTCTGCAAATAAAATTTACTTTTAAGCCTATTGACTTTTTGTAACTACTTATAGACGTTCAAGACACATTTTAATATACACACATAGGATCGAAGAAATTTTGTTGTTATTCAATTAGGAAAAATAATCCTTTTTTTACTAGACAAGTAGAATGAAAAAGATCATTTGATTTTTTTATGTAGAAGTTACTATTTACAAATTTAGTCTTTTTTCTCTGTTTCAGCCGCATGTGTTATATATTCCCGGTTCTGCAAAATTGTATAACTTTGATAAAACAACTGCGTTCTGTATTTTATATTTTGTGTCAATAAAAAATAAAAAAACGAAACTTGTTTATATAAATAACTAAATGCAGTATCTTACTTATCAATAATGTATTTCTGTGTTTTGTTGCTTTCTTCTTTGGTTTTATAGTTTTCTGTACTTTAAATAGCTAAATTTTTTAAGATTTTTTATTTTTAAAGTAGATTTTTGATGTCACTAAAATGTTCAATTTGGAAAATTTTCTGCGTAAAAGATAATGCAAAATTTACGGTATATATGTATGTATAATAGTCACGTATACTGCAATAACTTACGATGTGATTTAAATATCTATACATATATATATATATATATATATATATATATATATATATATATATATATATATATATATATATATATATATATATATATATATATATATATATATATATATATATATATATATATATATATATATATATATATATATATATATATATATACAACATTTCGTTTAATATATGATTTATATATTTAAATCGTAATATATAAAAAATATCATAAAAAATTGAGGCAAGAAATCATAAAGTATCGAGGCAAGTATTCTAAAAGTGTTCAAATCCAACATCTTTTATATATATTTTTCTAAAACAATAGATACCTGTTTGTACATCAAAAACGAACTTTTAAACACAAGCAATAAGTATGTGCCTATGATAATTATTCAAAAAGGTGGACCCTAATATACATCTTTTGTATATATTTTTTGAATATCATCGACGATTGACTTTTTTTCTCTTATTATACAAGCAACCTAGCAGTTGATGTTGCGAGGGATAAATTTTTTTATAAATTTCAAGTCCATTTTTATATACGAAAAACAATTTAAAAAGAATGAAAGTCTTTTAAAATATAAACATTTGATTAAAACAGACAAATTTAACGGAAAATTGCTCTGAATAAAATTTTTAATATATCAATGTTTTTAAATATATGTTAAATAGTTTTTAAAATAGTTTAGTTTATAAAAATTGATTTGCATTAAATATCTTTTAAGTTAAATAACTATTAAACTCGGTCATTTTGTTTTTTTTCGATTCCACTGTTATTTAACTTTGTTTATGAAATACTATGATCAACTGTGTTGATCATAGTATTTCATAAACAAAGTTAAATAACAATGCTAGCGGGTAAACACGTCCATAAAATGTCTTTATCACACCTTGAAGACGTTAAACGTCCTTAAAACGTCATAAAAAAAGTTTCTTAACCACTGGGATGTTTGGATTTTTAAAAACACCTAAAGTTTAGCAACTTTTTTTTAAAGCTATTTTCAAAAATTAAAAAATTTTAGAAACAACTGTGTGCTTTAAAACATTTGTGAATTAAAAACTTTCAAAATATATCAAAATAAAAAAAAAAATATCTTCAAAAATTTATTTAAAGTAATAAAGTAAAAAAAAAGAGGTAGAATATCAGTAAAATCTGAACAACTCTGTGTCATTTTTTTAAACCGTGCATATTTAGGATCATAAGACAGCCAAAAATTTTGTTGTGATAGCCACTTTAGAGTGAACTTTCCAGATAAAATAAATAATAACATAAGATCTTACCAAAGCATCCACAGAAATCTCTGTATAATGTGCTGGTGCTGATTCAGCATTATTGTTTAACCAATAAATACACGCAAAAACTACACGTATCATTTGTAAAAAACACATTTTTTGACACATGCTAAATGGGTAATTTAGATTTATATTTTAATAATCAATTTTTTTTTCAAATTTGTTTAAATTTACTTTAAAATTTTTTTAGACTTTCCATCTATATTTATGATAAATAAAAAATAACCTTTTCATTTATATGCCGGTTAAAACTTATATTAGACCCGGCTTAAATTTTATTGTGTAAATAAACATGGAACAAAGGAACTTCAACGTTTACATAGAAAAAAACTTATTTTAGTTAATCATCGTTGAATAACAAATGCCCTAACAGTTTGGAGTAAACATGGCATCCATGGTTATTTTATCTACAATTAACGATGGATTGCATAGAAGTAGCACTTGGTTCAAATATTCAAGTCGCATATTTTGTTTTTGTAGCAAAATTTGAATTAATTGCACCATAATTTCAAGTGCAAAAGTAATAAACTTTCTTACAAAATTAAAATAATATTTGCTGTTTTATATTATAGTAAAAGGTACTGACACTCAGGATAATAAGCTTGCACAACAGCATGCAATATTTAAAAATTGTAATAGGAGAAATATAAAACTAACTAATTTCCACAAGAATATAGAAGCCATGATTACCTTCATAACAGCTGTCATTTATGTTTATCTAAGCAGTTAGATAAAGCTCTGTCTCTAGCCGTTGTTTTGTATACATGTTGTCTAACCTAAGCTCAATTTAAGGAAAAAAACTGGGGATTTTAATGGGTTTTTTAACTTTAAAGTTATCTTTCCTCTTTTTTAAACACAGAGCATTTATATACAATATAGATTCGTAAAAGCATATCTGCTTCATTATTTAATTTTTATTTGTAATTAATAATTACTAGATTGATCATCTTCTTTCACTACCACGTGTCACAAACAGAATGTTACTGAAAAGTGGGACTGCCCCGCATTTGATGATTAAGAATTGGACTGCTTTTAATTACAAAAATTAGACAATAAAGAGAGTATTTAATAATAAACAAGATAAATTAGACAATAAAGAAAATAAGTTAGACGAATCTATACAATAAAGATTGTTTAAAATAAGAAATTGTTGGCATTTTTTAATTTCGGTTTCAATGATTATTTAGCCGAATGGTTAAAAAGTATTTTATTTTTAAATTTCCTTTTTTATTTCTTAATTAAAATAAGAAAAAAAGTTAATATTTTCAGCCCTTCCCTGAAATTTAGAGAAAATTTTTTCTTTGCATAATGTTAAATTTTATTTCGCGAAATATTCATTAAAAGTAACCATAGCTTAAAACATTTTTTTTTCTTTATAATTAATTTTATGAGTAAATAAAAACATTATCCCGAAACATTACTCGGTTATATCGGAAGTAAATGGTTAATTTTTTTAATCAATGAAAGCACTAAGTTAAACTCAACATGTTTATCATTTTGTCTGCTTCAATTTTTGAATTAATGTCTTTTGACTATTGAAAGTACTAAAGGTCTTGTTTTTAAATACAATTTTATAAAATATTATTTCGGAACAAATAAACAATTTCAACTTATATATAATAATATTTAGGAACAAATAAACAGAACAAGGAAGTTTATCTAAAAACTATATATAATGTATAATAATACTCCGGAATAAATATGTCGGATAAGAAAAACTCCCGTTTTCTTATATAAAGTATATGGCTAATTAATGTGAACAGCGATGAACCCTACATTTTCAAATAATTATATTTATTTTCATTTTTTTTGTGCTTGAAATCTAATTTGTCCAATGCCCCCACTTTTCCTTATTACCCGTTAAATCAGGTTTAGAAAATATACCGAACTTTTTTCTTGCACAGTTTCCATTTTGCTTTATCGTTTTCCTCAATTCCGGCAAATTTAACGATGTTTCTTCCGAATCAGACAACATTTTTAAGTATGATTTGCAATTGAGTTTAGTTTCTTTTTTATTTTAGAATGTTGAACAAGTTTTACTATATATTTATCACTAACAAATTAAACATTTTGCATCTATAAATTGAGAAATTGCAATTGTTTACAAAATGACACGAATATGTTTACAAAAACAAATTCGTTTACGACAAAAGCTCAGGAAAGGATTAAATGTTTTTTTATTTATTTTTATTTTTTTGTGAGCTGTATATTAATTTTAAAAATTACGTTGTTTTATTATTTACACATGCACAGTTAAAAAAGATATAAAGTTTTTTTTATCGATAGGTGTAAAGCTAAAACTCATTAAAAGTTTCTTCATTGCTTATTTTATCTTCGTTGTAAAATAGACATGTCCACAAAGTGACACAGATTACTGATCACCTTATTTTCTGTTTAAGATATTTACTTTTGCAATAAACTTTAAATTCAATATTGTACCCAGAATGTGGGGACATGCAACAACTTTGCGAAAGTGTTATAGTCTGCATATAGTCGCACAGTGCTTTAACGTACACGCTTATTTAACGTTAAATGAATGTTTACCATAATTTCAATATTGAAAAGGTTTAATAAACCTATAAATTCAAAGGAATGAAGCATATATATCTTCATGTTTATGTTTATTAAATCCTAATTAAATGATTTTAATATTGACTAATAAAAGTGTTGAGCAATCCTGGAAAAAATTGTACTCCTGTTGGAACCATATGCTTCCAGCAATGCCAAAAGCAAACCTAGAGGTCTTTTTTCAACAAAAATACATAAAACTCTTGTTTTATGTACGAGTTTTGAACCGTTAGGATTTGAAAATATCGTTTTATAATTTTAAAAGTGAAATTGAGAATCACGTCTTTTAAGCCGCTCGGGAGCAGCAATTGTGATATATATATATATATATATATATATATATATATATATATATATATATATATATATATATATATATATATATATACATATATATATATATATATATATATATATATATATATATATATATATATATATATATATATATATATATATATATATATATATATATATATATACCAATTTCTTCTGAAAATCATTTTCAATAACATTAAAAAAAACACAGTTTTAATTAATAATTAGATTCTTTTGTCTAAACCCATATTGTCATATTATTTTATGTTTTAAATATTGGTAAAATCTTTAATAGGTATGTAACAAAATAAACTTATATTTTTTTTTAGATTTTAATTAACTGTCCAGCAATATAAAAGAGCTTCAAAATAATAATGGATAATAACGTTAAGGCATGCAGTAAATAAATAAATATTATATACTGCATCTAGTGATGATAATATTGATAGCTTTAACCTTGATAACTTGATGTTATTAACTACAGTTTTCTTTTTTAGTTAACTAGGTACTCAAAGACGTCTATATTGTCTTATCACGGAGCACCGCAGAATACGGGCTTATCACAGAGCACTTCGAGAATTTAAACAGAAAATTCACTCCTCCTCCCTTACCAATGAGGCATATATGGCCAGAGCTGGCTTTAAAACACAGATTTCTAGTTCTTAATTTTATTAAAGCCAGAACTCTAACTACTATACCATGGCTGCTAATTAAAATGCTCCAATTCTGTCTATAAAATATTTTGATTATATTTAGAATTTGAATATATATAGATTGATACGATTGGAATGGAATCTAAGCCAGATAATGACTTTAGGTATATTGACCAAGTTGTGAATTAGGTCAACAAATTTCATATTTTGCTTCCCATGAGAAATAAAACAGCTGTAGAAATTGATCAATCAATGTTTTAACTTATTCTGATAATCATAATGGCAGTGGATTTTTAAACAATATTATCAAGTCAATTTTAATACTTTAACTGTGTTACAACACAGTAAAGTATTAAAAGTTACACTGCCTAATTTACACTATGTAAGTTACTCAGTGTAAGTTACAGTATATAACTTGCACTGTCAAACTTACTCTGTGTTTTAAATAGTTTTAGCTAGTGTAACACAGTGTAAGTTACAGTACGTAAGGTCAACTGTGTTACAATAGCAGCGTTTTTGCTTTTCACAATTTTTAACATTATTTTAAGTGAAAAGCCGTTTAAAATAAGACAGTGTAAGTTACAGCATGGTACACGCTATTTTTCGTGGATTTTCTGTTTGTTTTTTTTTCTTTTTTACCGCCAAAAGCTCAGCCATAAACTGGTAAAATAGTTGATTGTAATTCAATGTAAGTTAATTTGCTCATTAAAAAGTATATAAGGTTATCATGCAATTAAAAATCTTTGGTAAAAAAAAACCGGTCAACTATATCGATAATCTAAAAGAAACTATATCAATTCCGAATTTTTGTTTAATAAATGTTTTTGGTTTGCATGTTTAATAATTTCAAATTTTTCTTGTAGGCATAGTATGCATTTTTTGGAAATATTGTTTTATGAAGGTACTGTTTTAAGGATGGACCAATTCATTACAAAATCATCGATATTTTTATCTTTTAATTCCCATTTATATTTTGACAGCATGATGTCTTTTAAATACTTTTTATTTTTAAAGGATTGCTTATGATTGGCAAAACGTTTTTTTAATTCACTCTCTGTTATGCAATATATTGTTTATCAGGTACATTCTTAGAGGAAACAACACATTTGTATACTACATTTTTGGATAAACAACTTCCACTCATTGGAAAATTGTTTTTTTGTTTACAAATACAATTTTTTGTAGTTTTTTCATTTAGGATTTCTTTTTTGTTTAACAAAGCATTATTGCGACCTTTTATAATTTTTTCCATATTTTTTGTGCAACTGTAGCTAACTTTAAATGTATTTTGATTAGAAATTTTTTGTAATTTATTAGAGGGTGGGAAATGCTTACCGACTAATTTTAAAAACACTTTACCTATGTTAGTGGAAACATTTTTACTATATGAGGGGGTAAACCAAATTACATTTCTAGTTCTATTTCGCTTTTTTGTACTCGTTTTTTCAGGGTCAAATTTTGGATCAAAATCACTTATATATATATATATATATATATATATATATATATATATATATATATATATATATATATATATATATATATATATATATATATATATATATATATATATATATATATATATATATATATATATATATATATATATATATATATATATATATATATATATATATATATATATATATATGTATATATATATATGATATATATATATATATATATATATATATAT